GGAATTATAGCTGTGATATACGATTGGTGGGTGTTTGGTTGTCCCGTATGCAGAGAATCTCTGTAGGATTGGTATACGGCTTTTTTATACAGTGGTGACGGCCGTATGTCAATATATAAATAAATTTCTATTATTGCAGAAAATCAAAATGCGGTGGGATATGATGGAGAGTTTTTTTCTGTTTTATTTGCCTTTCTCCTAAAGTTTAAGAGGAATGGAAGGGAGACACGTGGCGGTAGGAGAGTGGGTGAGGAGCGTGTGGAGCCTACCCTGGGCGGCGTCGTTTGCTTGAGTATGAATTAAGGTGTTCACATGAGGACACGTGAGCACGTGGCTCTTGACTGCCGCTATCATCGCTAATCGCTACGTAATCACAACATCAACCATCTAAAACAAACAAAGGGGTCTATTCTATTCTATATAATAAAAACCGAAATTTGTCAAGGTTTTTGGGTGGGTTGATGAAAAATACAATTCAAGTATTAACATCTACTTCTCTTCTCTATCACATATCAATTTGCAGTACTTATGCCGACATTTGTTTGGGCAACAAACATATTTAGAATAATTTACAATTAGTATATATATTCGTGGTAGAGCATATTTTGACTATAATTAATTTAAAACAGTATTTTGCAATAAGGAATACTCTGTATAATTTATCAATTCAGCATTTATTATCAAATCTCTTTAATCATTCAATCAACATATATTTTATTTTAAAATAAATTAAATTTCATTAATAATAAAGAACACAGTGTAAAACATTTCAAAATTGAAAATATGATATTCGTGTTACTTTCTTTAATGTGCATTGTCAAATTTCAATTTCCTATGTAAATTTTGAGACGGTAAATAAGTTTTGATGAGTAAAGATTGATGTATAACTCACAATTATATGGCGTTCATGTTGGTATATGTGTCATAGAGACAATTTTTTTAAGGACATATATACATGATCACATTAATAATTATATTGGATTATAATTATGGTATTGCAATTAAATAAATAATTGTTTGATTGTTTGTAATTTATTAATTAATTACTCTCTTGAGTTAATACTGCCATTAACAGAGTGAGATGTTAATTGATAAAATATAACTCTCAAATAGTCTCAATCGATGATCATTAAGAAAGGGATATTAATGATACGCGATAGATTGACATGTGGACTGCATCACATTCTTAGAGAATATAGTATGTCTCACTGAAATGAATAATTGTTATTTGTGATGGACACATAGATACTTTTGAGAGTATTGGCATACCCTACCGATAAAACCATTTGTTTATGTGTCTATGGGAGTATCGGTGTGTGGAATGGTGTAATAGTCCTTTGACTTGAGGTCAATACGCAATTCATGTATAGAGTGATTTACTTAGACCTAGTCCAACGCTTACGCCCTTATAGGTAGATACGGGTTTGTGTTGGGTTGGTCACGATATACATGGAATTGGTAGTTGAGCCAAGATAGGATTCATTCCTCGAATATAATTTCGAGAGAACACTCGTTTTCTCTATACTGGGTTGATAAAGTCATTGGCCAATGCATGTGATTATATTTGAAATGGTGTTCAAATATAAAATCAACCAGTGAGATGGGATAAAATGATTAAGCTGTTTGGATAGACACACGTTCAAGTCCTAAGCTTAATCGAGTGGTTCGTGAATGAAGGGACCGTATCACTATTGAGTTCTACACTAAAGGTTTGTTTGCTTTGTCCATGTAAACGTACTTCATATTTTGAGTTCGTCCTTCGACGCAGTCTAGGAGTTTCGTAAGGATCATAAATTAGATTTATGTCAATATATGAAGGCCTATAGGGTCACACAATAAGCAATCAGTTTTCCGGCTAAGAGTGAATCGAGGGTGTTAAATATTCAATTAGATTAGAATATTTATTTTTGAGTAATGAGATTATTTTCTATTAGATAGAAAATATTTAATTAAGTTAAATTGGACTTACACTTAATTAAATCATTAATTGGATTAGGTCCAATTACCTATTGGGTTAGGTTATCCTAAGGCCCATATAATTAGGTTGACCTAATTATAAATATGTCATTATCTCTTGGTAGTCTTTAACGATCATTAGATGAGAGAAGAATAAAGATACATCGTAAAATAAAAACACTCTCTAGCTTTCTGGATCGAGGATTCCTAGCTTCTTCACCGGAAGGGATTCATTGGCGTTAGATCGTGCACCCGAAAACTGGATTGCGTAGATACCATAGTCGAGGACAAAAGACGAATAACTATAAGTGTATCATTCACGCGATCTAGGATCATATCGAATAGCTATAGCCGGATCTTCGTCGTTGGTAAGAAAATTTTTAAAATTCCGCTGCACGTGCGATTGATTTGTACGTCGAAAATCCAACCGTTCATCTTATCAGTCTTATACAATATTAAAGTTAGTTCCCTTATCAAATTTTCTTAGGAAAATTCGGATAACGATAATACTTTTCACGACTAAATATGATACAAAATTCATAATTATGTTGTGCTCATTCTGATAACTCATATACAATATTAAAGTTGAATTCCTAACATAAAGTTAACTAGATAAATTAAGAAAATATTAGGTAAGTTCTGATGAATAAATCGGACACGTAATTTTGGTGCATTTTTCTTTGTAAATTTTTAGATAATTTTATCATGCCTTAAACCCTTAGAGCTTCTCCAGCCCTGTGTCACAATGCTACTCTACTCTAAAGTTGTGCCAAAAAATTGCTCCAATATTACGCTATATTTTTGCACTACATTGAATATATAAACAGTACTGTGCTACATGTACCGCAGTTTTGTTCACCTCGCTACAATCTTTTTTCTTCAAATTTTAATTTTTTAATTGATTTTTATTTTTATATTTTATTTTAATAAAGTATTCATCAATAAAATTGTTTATTTTGTTAAATAATTTTAAATTTTAATTATAGTTGTATTTAAGTTTTATTTTCAATTAACATGTTTCATGTAGAGGAGTAAAATGTAGCGCGAATGACTGGAGACAAAAGTTAGTGTTGACAACCGACCTGATTTGTTAGGATTAAAACGAAGATTTACCAGAATTATTCACGGCTTATTTCTCAAATCACTTCACACGCCCAACTTAGCTCAATTCTGTGCAAATTGGGTGTCAAACCGACTTTCGACATAGGCGTGAAGAGTGAAGACTTCGCATGTGGCTGCAAACCGATAAAAGAATACTAGTTTCTTATTATTTTAAACCTCTAATTTCTAGTTATTAACCCTTTAAACATTTAACCGCATAGTCTATTGAATATTCTTGCTTTGTA